AGAAATATAGAAGCTCAATGCGGAGAAGATCTTGATTAGGTTAAAACCCAAACCAAGCCATTCACACAGAACGCATATTCAGCGCATTTTTTTAGACGGACAAATACGACTGCTTCTTTGATGCTGCACTCGCGTCTCAGAGAAGAGATGTATAGAAAGCCATGCAAAGTTAAAACAGTTTCAACATTTAGAAACACGTCACGAATTTGTGGAGATTTTTTCCTTTTCACTGCGTCTCATATGTTTTAAATGCAATCTTCGTGATCGGCGATTCGGCTCTTTGTATTAAGCAATGCATAAATACATGATGCTATTTTGTTTATGCAATTTACGAAATTATATTTGATTTATGAGTTAATTTAGACGTAATGCACTTTTTTTTATAGACCGTTATTTCCTTGCGATGACAATTAAATTTGCTGCATTATTTTGTTCATTGCGCCCTCCTGTGGCCTCGGGGAAACAAGCCAAAAGTTTAACCTATTTAATCTGCATATAAAACATTAGAAATGGGATATTCGTTTAATTTTTATTTTGTGTTTGACCGTTAAAACAAAAAAAATTGTCGTTTGTCTCAATAAATGGAGTTAATTTAAAAATACAGTGGTTAAATGTAAAAAATCTTTTCTATTGCTACGTTTTAAAAAAGGTTATAAAAAATGTCAATAATTATCGATACCGAACGATATGAAACATTATATCTTTGATAAATTTTTTAGCTATATCGCCCAGCCCTAGCTCAGAGTAGAGCGTCTCTAATAATTACGACATGGCATGAGCGCAGCAAAACTACACTTTTAAAAAGGTAGTTAGCTACATTAATAATTACATTGAAGCTATGACTTTTTAGGTATGTAAATGTTTGAATTGATTTTATTTATAAAAATGCAATACATTTGTGTTTTTGTGTTTTGTAACAGTACTGAAAAATCAAAATAGTGTCATGTGTAATAACTATACCTTTTAACAAGTAATGAACAGTGAGTGATTTCTGAAAATGGCCAATGGATACAAAAATATAAAGCAAAATACAAAATGTTGCTTAAGATCAGTAGCCGAAATATAGAGTGTATTTTGTCCAGTGGCAGCGTTGATGTAAACACTGAGGAGGGTGAAGATGTGACCTTTGAGTGTTTATATCCTCACTGAGTCTGGATGACCTACTTAACAGACGGATGTGTGTTTGTCTGTTTGACCGGCATCAGAGCTGCTCTCCCGAAATCAAACTCCATAACTCTTCTGCTGACAAACCCTTCCTCCTCGTATATCAGTCACCTGATCTCAGCGTGTGTGTGTGTGTGTGTGGTGGTTATCAACGGAGCAGTTATCAGGAGCTGAAACTACTGTCAATTATGTGGCCTACTTTCCTTCATAACACACGGATGGCAGAGAGAGGCTGAGAGCTCCAGTGCAAACAAAACTCACGCTTTATGGGAATCATGGGACTGATGCTCAGCACATTGTTGTTCAGAAACCCTCTTGTCTTCAGTCTGTTGTGCAGCAGGCACATGCTTTTATTTAAGAGCTCAGAGTCCCATAAAGCCTCACCTTTTTCTGACATATGTATCTGTGTGTGATATAATTATGAACCTCACATATGCTTTGAGCCTACTATTATATGCATGTTGTTCACATATATTTTCCAGACTACTTGTGAAAAATTTCATTTTCATTATGAAAAGATTATGCGACAGCTACAGCAGGAAGCCATCCTGTTTGTTATTAATGGTCAGAGCGGCTGAGATTTATTTTGGTGCAAGTAACCTTGACTAACCTAAGACATATTCTGCCTTTACATGGGTCAATGTTGTGATTTGCCTCATCTGTTAAATGTATTCAAAATGCATAAATGTAATACATATACATATGATCACCTCGGATACATTTTTTCTACGATGAGCATGTTAATTTCTCTATTAAAATTCATTTTGATGTTTAAGTTAAAATTGATAATGATTCTACTGTCCTGATATAACAAAGAAAAAGATAAAAAAATATTTTAAATATTTAAAAAAACATATATTAAAAACATTTATTCAAAAGATGTTGTTTGGCATAACCTAAATAACATTTCTATTATTTAAGGTGAATAAATAATATATATTTAATGTCTTAATAATGCAAGATTAATCTGAAAACACATTTCCAATGCATAATCCAGGTCATATTTGAACAAAGCTGCTTATTAATATTTGGACAGACGTTTATCCACCAAATCAAAGTCATGTGGTGTGACCAGCATGCATTGAAAAGCCTAAAACAGGAAACGATACAGACTGATCGTGGGTCCGTAAGTTTCTTGAAATATTAGATAATTTGGCCTTTTTATTATCAAGTCAAGGTTAGTTCAGGTTGTATCATGTGGTGCAAGTCCCTAACAACATAATGATATTTATGAATAATAAATACTTTATTTCATAATACTTTTTTATTTTTATTTTGACAGTATGGTAAGAAAAATGTTATTACTTTTAATTTGATGTTTACACCACATGACATTTTTAGAGTTATTAAAACTTTACTTAAACATAGTGTAAAAGTTTTTCAAAACCATATGAACAACCAATATAGCAATATATACCATATGAATACAGAGTAGTCATATTATTCTATTATAGTTTTTAAATATTTTGAATTTGATTTTTATTTTGGGATTCCACCAGCCCGTCTGGCTGCCGCCGTCCTCTCCCACAGGCCACCACACGCTCCATCACCATCACCGCCATCACATGCACCAGCCGCCCGTCTCCCAGCCCGCCAACGGCCAGAGATGAGACTTTGCGGCGGGGGAGACACGGGGAGGGCCGGGGGTGTTAATGGGGGCGAGGATACACGG